TTGGAGATCGAGTCCAGAGACGAGGGAATCCCGGAGTAGGATTTTACGCTGTTAAGGTAAGTAACAATTTTAACTCTGGCTTTGAGGGTATAAACCTGGAGAATTTGATATTGTGTGACTGTTTGGAGGTGATACCCATGCTAGGTGACGGGCGTGTGGGTGTATATCTCGAGGGATTGAAACTTGGTCCGTCCCTTGAGGCCTCATGGCCATCATCTATGTTTACGTAGTTACATGTCATTGAACTTGTCTGCCTTCATGTTAGAGATCATGCTTAGGCTTTATTCATGCTCACATTATCTGTACTCAGTCATAGCAATGATTGTACACGTTTACCTCATTCTCTATTATTTGCTAATATGCTGTGATACTTGATGTGGGTTGTGTTCCCTTGTTTGTTGATGATGGTGAGGCTAGTGAGGTACATGATTGAGTGAGGCCGAGGGCCTGGTTGTGAGGATATTAATACCATAGCACGTGAGTTGTCCGCGTAGCACGTGAGTTGATCGCGCGGGTCCAGGTATTGATTCCAAAGCACGTGAGTTGTCCGCGTAGCACGTGAGTTAAGCGGATCCATGTATTGATATGATGGCACGCGAGTTGTCCGTGTTTAGCACTTGGGCTTTGTGAGCCCCTCCGAAGTCTGTACACACCCCCAGTGAGCGCAGAGTGTTGAGTCTTTTGAGTGTTGAGTGCTGAGTGCGAGTTATGAGTGATGGAATGACCCTGCTGTGAGGTTGTATTTATTTGTGTTGTTGCTGCATTTATCTGTTAAACTTCTTTGTGGCATTTATTGAGATATGAAATTTACCTGTTTATTTCTATTTATTTTTAAATTGTGAAAATAAATAATTGGACTGTTTTACTTAGCTTGTCACTACTGCTCAGTTCCTTAGTTATTTCTATTACTACTGAGTCGGTTGTACTCATACTACACCCTGCACTTTATGTGCAGATCCAGGTGAGTTAGAGCGTAGCAATCGTTGAGTTCAGGCCGGCTATCTGTGGAGATTGCAAGGTAACTGCAAGCGTCCGCAGGACCTTGTTACTCCTTTTGTCATTTCTTCTTTTGGACAGTTAGACATCTTATATATCTTAGTTCATAGTTTTAGATGCTCATGACTTAATGACACCCAGATGTTTTGGGCTCATTTCCGTATTTTCTATATTATATTTAGAGTTGATTTAGTTTATGAGAAATTCAAATGTTGGTATTTTTTTATTAAATGCTTATAATCGATTTAGTAGTAATATTTTGAGAAATATGCTTGCCTTGTAACACGATAGGCGCCATTACGACTATGGTTATATTTTGGGTCATGACAAGTTGGTATCAGAGCCTCGGTGACATAGGTCTCACGAGTCATGAGTAGGTTTAGTAGAGTCTTGCGGATCGGTATGGAGACGTCTGTATTTATCTTCGAGAGGTTGCTGAACCCTTAGGAAACTTCACATTCTTGAATTATTTTCATGCGGTATTGATTCAATTTGAAGTATAACTCTTTGAATTCCTTCTACGCATTCGTATGCGTACATGGGCGCTCGGTATCAGTTGTGCATCGACGGCTTGTGATTCCCTGGATGAGGTGCGAGATGTGATTTTTGTGTGTTGATGTCAGGCTAGTCTGGAGGACATGAGGCCGGATTTTGACTGTAGCTTGAGCACTAAGGTGTTGATTGTGTGAGCGCGTGCTTGTGGTACTTTTGGGGATATTTAAGAGAGTATTCAGCGGCTTATGAGCCATAGGGCGGTGTAGTTTTATGCTTGGATCTCGTGTGGTGAGTCTAGGTTGAGGATTGTGGTGTTATGGCGGGGCAAAGTATCAATTTGAAGGTAATTCAGAAGGAACTCGGATAGATAATACATCTTGGTAGTAGGTTGGATCGGCATGGCAATAGGTATGATTAGTTCTTTGGGTGTGTATGAGGTAATGAGTTCTACAAGTGTTTTGTGGCAATGTCCTTGGGTTTTTGATGGTCTACGTAGCTTGGTTGAGTTAGAAGGATTCAGTCCTGACGAATTAGTTTTGTGCCATTGGGGCTCGGAGAGAGTTCTTGATGGTTTTGAGACAACTCTTAGCACGTTCGAGGACGAACGTTTGTTTAAGAGAGGGAGGATATAACGACTCGGCCAGTCGTTCTGAGAGTTATAGCCCTGTTTCCTCATTCCTGCTTCTTTATGTGTTGTTCAGCGGTGTTGAGTTGTATCGAGTTGGTAGGTTTGGGTCCGTAGTACTTTTGGAGTGAAATGAACACTTAGTCTCTTAGTTAGAAAGTTAAGTTAGAAAAGTCAACCGGAAGTTGACTTATGAATAAACGAACTCATTGGGTGATTTTAGACTTATGAGTATGTCCAGAATATAATTTGGAGGACCGTGGTAGAATTAGGCTTGATTTGGAGAAAGTTGGAAGTTTAGAAGTTCTTAGGCTTGAATCTGAGGTTGATTTGATGTTTTATTGTTGTTTTGGGTGTTCCGAAGGTTCGACTAAGTTCGGGTAGTGATATATGACTTGTTGGAATTATTGGTTGAGGTTCCGAGAGCCTCGGGTGAGTTTCGGATAGGTTTGGGTTGTGTTGCACTCGTTTTTCTTATGTTTCGACGCCGTTTCTTCAAGCATAAATGATATCATATTGAACAAATGAGCTCCGATTTCTTTTTTTATTGAAGCATTAGATCCGTATCGTAATTAGGGACCCGTAGCAAAAAGAATCGTCAAATTAGATTGCCAGATTTCTTTCAGATTAATTACGAAATTGCCGCAGACCGCGTATTTAAAAATCTGCACTATTTGTAAATATTAAAACCTACATATCTCCTTCATTATAAGGTCAAATTAAGTGATTCAAAAGTCTAACTTGACTAGAATATCACAAGGAATCCATTGGAGGTATAAAATGCGAGTTTCAGGATCGTTTGTCATGAGAAACGAGGCAGAATACCTGGCAGAAAAATCTATAAAACGTGGAATTGCACATTCGGTCATATTTTGAGTTGGGGGACTCGGATTTGGGCGATTTTGGGGGTGATTATCACCATAAGGATTGGAGTAAGTGTTCTCTACTCGGTTTTGGTTATATTTCATGAATCCTTCTTCATTTTTGGGATTTGATTGATGATTTCAAAGTGAAATTGAGCGAGTTAGGACTTAAGTTTTGGAGAGTTTTAGGTAGGGATTGGAGGGACCAAACGAAGTCCGATTTTGATAAATTTTATATGATTAGACTCGGGTGAGGACGAGGTTTATTATTCTGCCATTTTTGACTGATTTCGAGATGTGGGCCGAGTTTTGGCATATTTTATAGTTTTTATTGTGGAATTCAATTCGTTAGCCTATGTTGATGGTATTAATCTGATTATTGTTAGATTTGGAGCTTTTGAAGACCGAATCCAGAGTGAGGGCATCCCGAAGTCGGATTTTATGCGGTTAAGGTAAGTAACAGTTTTAACTCTGGCTTTGAGGGTAGAAACCCAAAGAATTTTATATCGTGTGACTGTTTGGAGGTGATACTCACGCTAGGTGACGGGCGTGTGGGTGTATACCTCGAGGTATTGAGAATTGATCCGTCCTATGAGGCCTCATGGCCATCATCTGTGTTTACGTAGTTACTTGTTGTTGAACTTGTCTGCCTTCATGTTAGAGATCATGCTTAGGCTTTATTCATGCTTACATTATTTGTACTCAGTCATAGAAATTATTGTACATGTTTACCTCAGTCTCTATTATTTGCTAATATGCTGTGATACTTGATGTGGGTTGTGTTCCCTTATTTGTTGATGATGGTGAGGCTAGTGAGGTACATGATTGAGTGAGGCCGAGGGCCTGGTTGTGAGGATATTAATAGCATAGCGCGTGAGTTATCCGCGTAGCACGTGAGTTGATCGTGCGGGTCCAGGTATTGATACCATAGCGTGTGAGTTTTCCGCGTAGCACGTGAGTTGACCGTGCGGATCTAGGTATTGATATGATGGCACGTGAGTTGTCTGTGCTTAGCGCTTGGGCTTTGGGAGCCCCTCCGAAGTCTGTACACACCCCTAGTGAGCGTAGAGTGTTGAGCGTTTTGAGTGTTGAGTGTTGAGTGCAAGTGATGAGTGATGGAATGACACTGCTGTGAGGTTGTATTTATTTGTGTTGTTGCTGCATTTATCTGTTAAACTTCTTTGTGGCATTTACCGAGTTATGGAATTTACCTATTTATTTTCTTTATTTTTAAATTATGAAAATAAATAATTGGACTATTTTACTTAGCTCGTCACTAATGCTCAGTTCCTTAGTTATTTCTGTTACTACTGAGTTGGTTATACTCATACTACACCCTGCACTTTATGTTCAGATCAGGTGAGTTAGAGCGCGGCGATCGTTGAGTTCAGGCCGGCTATTTGTGGAGATTGCAAGGTAGCTGCTAGCGTCCGCAGGACCTTGTTACTCCTTTTGTCATTTCTTCTTTTGGACAGTTAGACAGCTTATATATCTTAGTTCATAGTTTTAGATGCTCATGACTTAGTGACACCCCGATGTTTGGGGTTCGTTTTCGTATTTTCTATATTATATTTAGAGTTGATTTTGTTTATGAGAAATTCATATGTTGGTATTATTTTATTAAATGCTTATAATCGATTTAGTAGTAATATTTTGGGAAATAGTCTTTCCTTGTAACACAATAGGCGCCATCACGACTATGGTTAGATTTTGGGTTATGACAAGTTGTTAATTTGCCTAAATGAAAGTGACATGTGTAGATGATGCCATGGGTGAGACTTTTTGTCCTCCACTACTTCTTTTAGCTTTTTGTTGCTTCCGAGTGGTGGGTCTTCTATCTTCCTAGGAAATAATCTCTTGGACGTGTACGAACAAATAGTGGACGAGAGTGCCATGTCTAAGAATATATTCTACTTATTTAGAAGGGAGAATAAGGAGGTCTTGGTCTTCTAGGGTATTTTAGTCTTTTCAACATATTTTAGATAGACTGTTGTACGCCTACAATTTTTCTTCTCAGCATATTTTATATTAGACTATTCCGTTCACGCTCTCTTTCTCTCTCTAGGGTACGCGATTCTTTTTCTTCTCAGACGTGTAACATCAAGCTCCTCTTATTTTTGCTGCTTTGAGTTGTTTTCGTACCTTGCCAACACTTGCGTTTCATGGGGATCAACAATATATTTTGGAGGTTAAACATTATCTCTTCAGGTTTTCATGGGGATCAGCAATATTTGGGGGGTTAAACATTATCTCTTTAGGTTAGATTACTTCGATGCCCTTATTTTTGGCAAATTTGATCTTCACTTTTAAGGTTATATTTAACAGTTTATTGAACTGTTTAGCTATGATAGTTGAATAAATTCTTGATTATACTTATTCTGCTTGGGTTTTCTATCGATATTTCTCGCTCCGCTTCTCCATTGTTCACCTTTTCGTCTCTGTGCTTGTTTGCTCACAGGTTATTACTTTGTTTGATCTTTAATTTTAAGATTAGATTAGACAACTTGTTGAATATTTCAGTTGTCTGATGTTTACTAATTAGCAGTTGCAAAAGTTAAAGGGATAAAAACTACCGTGTTAACTGAAGGCGACCGTTTGATGAGCAAAGTCAACGGATTACGAAGAAACAAAGATTATAACTCTATTTATATAAATTAGAAGAACCCGCATGGCAGACCTAAACTAATACATTAAAGTAGAAATAAAGTGTTTATGGAGTAGTAGTTAATAAGATTTTAGGGAACATACTTTGTTTTGCTCGGGTATCCTCCTGATTTTTTTGGTTCCGCTTTTCTGCTACTCCTCTTGTGCCTCTCTGCTCGTTCGCTATAGGCTATTATTTTGTGCTTCATATTTCATCTCCTTCTTCATATTTGTGTGCCTGATTTAATTAAAAATGTATCTTTATTAGAAGTACTTATTATCTTTTTTTGATAGAAATATATAAAGGACTATACAAGCAAGTTGCTCTGTTTTTCCCTCAGTGGATTTAATAACAATAAGAAAATCAGAGTTACTCAAGTTGTTGTGTGTTGAAGCCACTTGGTTGTGAAACTTGTTAATGGGAAAGACTTTTAGTCTTCCCTTCCTCTACTTGTTTTTTGACTCTTTGGTCTGACAAAACAGTCTCCCGTTGATCAAATTATAAACTATTTTACAGTCTCATGGGAATTTCTTTGTAAATTCGAGTTGTCACCCACTGAACACTCGCAATGCTATATCAAGTTTTCTTTTTTTTTTTTTAGCTTCGGTACGTAGTAGATAGAGCTTATTTGATTCTTAGCAAGGAATTGAAATAATCTTTCGAACAGACTCCATATGCTTCCAAAAGGAACCAATAAATAAAACAGTCAGGGAAAATTTTTAGTAATGTATGAACTGTCTAAACTTATCTTTTCATTAAGACTTACTATTGTTACCCAATCAGGCCTTCACTGAATACTAATCTATCTTAACTTATTTTGTTGCATTTCTTAGGAATTAGATATATCAATAAAAGCAGGAATAGATCTAGCCATGTCAGAGTTGGCTCCAACAATCTTATAGGTTTATCGACAAGTTATTTAGCCTAATCCTGTTGTTTCAATTTCAGTAATGATGGTCAGCATTGATCCTTTGTTACAGAATTTGAATTTTTAAGGTTGAGTTATTAATAGTACTATGTACTTATTCGTCTACCTATTTGTTATTTGTTAATTGCAGTCTTGATGCACGTTAAATATGAAGTATATGTCTTTATATTATTACAAAGAATTAAACAACTGAATTTGTATCTTTAGTTATAGCAGTGTTAGTATGTAAAAGAAATTCTTATGTGCTTCTATAGTTCATTCAATTTCTTTGCCACGAGAAAAACCATTAGTGTAGCAATAAATATGGTTCAACAGTTACTTTGCTTTGTTTATCAGTACATATATGTCATCTTCAGTCTTGCGATACTTTTTACTGGTTTTGTCCCCATATAATTTCATAATTGATTACTTTATATCTCTCTTGAGTTTTGCTTCTTGGAGTTGTGGTACTGAGAGGGAGTTTGTGCTAGCAAAGGTGAAACTTCTGGATTTTCAGCGATTTTTGTGATCTAAGAAGATCAGCAAAGTTCTTTTAGAAAACAGTGAAGAAATTCTACAACCTCTGCTTAGCACAGGTTGCAGTAGGTTAAATTTTATTAGGTAAAGAAGCTGTCGAAGAGAAAAGTTGCCTATCTTAATGGGGAGAATAAAGATTCCTGAATCATGGGGTGGAGGATTTTGCAGTCTTTAGGCTTAATTTTTTTTTTTGGTCGAGGAATTCTTTGAGACTTAGTTGACCCATTGGTTTAAAACCCATGACAACACGGTCTTCTGTCATAAAAATACCAGGCTCCTTGCTACTAGCAGAGATCGAACTTGTAACGTCTACCTTATCTATATCTATGTCGTTGGGTCCATAGCAGTAAACCAACACCCGAGGGCAACTTGGGATAATATATGTAACCGAAGCTTTCTATTTATTTCTGAAGCAATTTGACAAGGGGTTCAACTGCTCCATCTTTGTTTTGATCTGTGAGCTTCATCTGGAAAATGTTGTTGCCATTAGAGTCTTACTCATACTGCATCCTGCAGTCAGATTTTTAGTAGCAGGATATATTAATCAAATAATTAAAAATTTTCATTATACCGCTACAGTTCACAACGCTAACAATTTATTTACCTGTACAAGGGTTTTCAAATAATTAGCCTCTTATGAAGAGCCTAAAATGTCTTTGTTTACTCAATGCCCACTCCCGTTGAGCATCATACTCTCTCTCTATACTCAAAACAAAAAAACAAAAGGCAGCAAAAGAAATTCAAATTTAAGGGCGTCAGAGAATACTACATTTGTCCACCATCGATTGTGTAAGGGTCTCGAAGGGGTGCAAATGATCCTCGGCTACTTCACGCACTGTCGTAAGGTCTTGAATTAGATATTCTTATTCTTTCGCAATACTCAGCCCCTTAGGAGGAGGAGAAGTGTCCCTCTACAGTAAGTCTTCAGAATGCTAAAATAATGTACTGAAGCCAACAAGGTTGAATCATTTTCAAAAACCTTTTTGCTGTAACAGAGAGAGCAACTTGCATCTTAAACTGTTTATCAGTATAAGCACTGTACAATTTTAATATTTCAATCAATGAAGAAATAATTGAAGTATAACAAAAGAACAGAGCTTTTTGCTCATTAATATAACGTCTCAAGAGTAACTTGGTTGGTGTTGTAAGAGCTCAACTTGAGCTAATAGTTTAGCCTCTGTAGGTTTCAACAATGATTCACCATTCTGTGCTCTAGATCAATGAGCACGACTTGTGATATTTATCTTTTCACTATGATTGATTGTTGTTACCTAATTAGACTTTGGCTGTGTACTAGTCCATTTTGGCTAACTTAGTGGCATTTCTTCTTATCATTTAGAAATATTAATAAAAGTAGGAATAGGTCTATCAATCATTATCACCGTCTAATTAATTATTTAAAATAAAAAAAATATATTGACAGTGGGATATTGTATGGAAATAACTTCAGTGACGTAGTTAATCGGTGGACATTGTCTTCTTACGTTGAAGGGGAAGATATTTGGACCAAAATAACAGCAAGCAACATTCATTTGATGCACATGAAATAGTAGAATAAATCACAAGTTTAGTTTCTTCATTACTTTCTTCTACAACAGATTCACATATTTGGTCTGGTAATAGAGCTTTCAACAATGATCTTCTTTCTTGTCTTTATCATTCATTTTAAGACAGTCATATTACACTTTCTATAGAGAATATTTTTGCGAGTATTTCAATGCACAATGTGTTGAACTTGACTGCAACTTATTTATGCCTTTGTAGAACTACTGACGCTTCTGTTACATTCGGTACCACAAAAAGAGTTGCTCAACGTGCTTACAAGTAACCAACTATCTTATCTTTATATATTTGTAAACGCAAGCTCCTATTAACACATTCTTTGTTTCTCCTACCCGTTGTACTGCTAACCGTTAATGTTGTGCACCAATTTTGTTTCTACAAGTTGTGCTATTGTGTCTATCTGTAATGTTGTTTAACGATAGCCATTGTTGGTGCTCACAACAGGTGTTGTATATGTCGAGGTGCAGTATCTTTTTGTGCTTCCACATACTCGCTAATAGAAATTGATACCTTGCTAAAGGGTTGTGTGATAGTTTGCACAACTTCATTAAGAGTAAAAACTACGACTTTGATAGATCATACACAAAACAATAAACGTCCCCTCTCAAAAACAGATATAAATGCCATTCGGCGTGAAAAATACAAAGAGATGACAATAGAGAAAAAGCAAAAGTTATTGCTACAACGTCGACTAAAATACCAAGAGTCGAAGAGACATAATCTCTTTGAGAGTATAATTGCTATTCCCTTGATTGGAACAATGGCTGCTAAAGAAAGAGATGAAACACGTCCATTTTCTATCTATGAAAAAGGTGAGTATGCCACCTTCTTTGCTCGCTTTTAAACTAGCTACCACTATTTAGTTCCATCTAAAGACCACCTACCTTCGTTTTAGGTTCAACGTCAACTGTATCCAATAAACTACATAACAAAGTCCCCAAGATAGTTACACCCAAAGGTCTGTTAAGTTTTTTGTCTCCCATTAACAGTCATGACTGCTTTTGCTTTGCCTTAGTTTTAATTATCCATTTCAAATATACAAATGGTATAACAACCACAAAGTTTACACCAAACATCAGTCGGCTGCGTTCAAACTATGTTTCGCTTAAGAAAGTTCCAATCTGCAAATTTTGCTCAGCAAAAAGATTTGAATATGAACCTCCTGCATTCTGCTGTCGTACTGGGACAGTAAAGTTAACTTCTCATCAAATGCCTGTGAAATTGCGTAATCTATATCTTGAAAATAGTGTGCTGGCTAGGCACTTTCGAACATACATTAGAACATATAATAATCTTTTTGCATTCACGTCACTTGGTGTAAAGTATGACAAAGATCTAGCAAAAAGAAACTCTAGTATTTACACCTTCAGAGTTCAAGGGAAGATGTACCATTGGATAAATAATTTGCACCCTACAGATGACAAACCAAGAAACATACAATTATATTTCTATGATAATAGCAATGAGCTGACACATAGGATGTCATGTTCCGAGAGAGTACATGAATCGGTAGTGAAGGAATTGATAGATATATTATCAATAAATCCATACTCTGTATTTTTACGATCTTTGGTACATATACCGAACCTACAAGATTTCCATATAGCTCTCAAATGTGACTTAGACTTGGACCAGAGAGTATATAATTTACCAACTTCATATGAAACTGCAGCAATATGGACCGAGGAAAATGACGACGCAGCCTTTAATGCACCACATATTCAAATTTACCCTCACACTGCTCGTACATAAATAGTGAATTACCATTATGGCTATTACGACGCATTGCAATATCCGATATTGTTTCCGCTAGGACAAAGTGGATGGTATTGTGGTACTAAGAAGCTCCCAGCAAATTGTCCTGCATACGCAAGAATTGTGCAGCACGAAGAAGTACCAAGCATACGAAATGTTACCTCCCTTGACGGATATCTTGAAATGAAAGCTGAAATTCTTAAAAAAGGTCAGTGACGAAGGGATACAGTTTCTGTCCGTGAGTATTATTGTTACAAACTATAAATGAGAAACGATGATAAAGATAAAATATTGCATACCGGAAGAATATTTCAGCAGTATTCAGTTGATCAGTACATTAAACTTGAAACACAAAGGTTGGATTTTGCAGTATTCAATCAAGATTTGTTCAGAATGGCTATGCTACAAGGACTTCTTGACATTTTGCGATTAGGGGAACGCGATGCTTCTAATATCGGAAAACAAAATTTTCTTACAAATTCTTTTATTGGAGGGCCCCGGGATATGCATCAACGGTACATGGATGTTATTGCGCTCGTGCAGCATTTCGGTAAACCTGATTTATTTATAATAATGACATGTAATCCATCTTGGACGGAAATAAAAGAATATTTAATCTCAACTGATGAGGCACATAACAGACCTGATTTGATCAGCCGAGTATTTAGAGCGAAAATAGAAGAATTCAAAAAGGATATACTAAAGCGAAATATCTTTGGGAAAGTTGCAACTTTTATGTATACTGTAGAGTTCCAAAAGCGAGGTTTGCCTCACGCCTATTTTCTTATAATATTAACTAATGAATACAAGTTACTTACTCCAGAGGCCTACAATAACATTATTAGTGCAGAAATACCTGATGAAAAAGCATAACCAGATTTATATTCAGTTGTTCTTAAACACATGATGCATGATCCGTGCACTAATCTAAACCCAACAAATTCGTGTATGAAGAAAAAAGGTTACTGTAAATTCAAATACCCAAAACGCTTTGTGGATCGAACATCAAAAGGAACAAAATCTTACCCAATTTATAGAAGATGCAATACAGGAGTGGTGGTAAAAATAAGAGAACGATACTTGGATAACTCATGGGTTGTTCCATATAATCTTTTTTTGCTCGGGAAATTTGATTGTCATGTGAATGTTGAGATATGTTCTAATATTAAGGTCGTTAAGTATCTTTATAAGTATATATGTAAAGGACACAATAAGATTGTATTTTCTGTGCACAATAAGGACGCAAACACAGAAGTAATAGACGAGATAAAAGAATATCAGTCTGCTCGGTGGGTCTCACCTCCGGAAGCTATGTGGCGGTTGTACAGTCTCTCCATTAGTAAAATGTCACCAAGTATATGCCCTCTTCAGCTTCACTTTAAAGGACAATAATTTATTTCATTTAAAAGCAGCGCAAATATTGATACGCTTATAAATAATCCAATGATTAAGTAGACGATGTTAACACAATTTTTTTAAATGAATAGAACAAACACAGACGTTGGAGAACTCAATCTATTATACCGAGAATTCCCCGAACATTTCGTTTCGTCTGCAACGGAGAAAATGTGGACGCACTAGAAAAAACAGCGTGCTATTGGTCGTGTAGTAACATGTCATCCAACAAAAGGAGAGCGGTACTATCTTAGAATGTTACTAATGAATATTAGAGGACCAAAATCATATAGGGATTTACTAACTGTTAACGGAGAACGTTGCAGTAGTTTTAGAGAATCTGTGAAAAAACGCGGATTGCTACAGAGTGATAATAGTTTGACAAAATGCATGTCTGAAGCAGCAAGTTACCAAATGCCATACAGTTTGAGACGTTTATTTGCTATATTATTGATCTACTGCAATCCGACTAACCCGAGACAACTTTGGGAGCAGTTTGAAGAGCACATGTCCGAGGATTATAGCTTGTTACCTAATATTCACAAAAGAGACATACGATACATGGTTATAAACAAGATTAAAGACATATTGCACTCTATGGGTGGCGACATAAATGAATATCATCTCATTCCAGAAATAATAAGGTCTTCTATAGTTGCAAAAGACGCAAAAGAGGTATACTATGAAAGGACCATCACTATCACTGAAGAGGATATACTACTACACAAAAAGTTGAATGAAGATCAACTGAAAGAGTACAATGTAATTACAGAGAGAATTTTTTCAAACAAAGCGGGAGCATTCTTTATTGATGGTCCGAGAGGAACTGGAAAAACCTTCTTATACAGTGCATTGCTGGCAACTATACGATCTAAAGGATATATAGCATTAACAACTGCCACTTCTAGTGTAGCTGCTTCTATACTTCCCGGTGGACGAACTGCACATTCACGTTTTAAAATTCTAATAAATATTGACGAGAATGTCACATGCAACATCAGCAAACAAAGCTCACTAGCATGTTTGATTCAGGATGCAAAATTAATCATATGGGACGAAGTATTTATGGCGAAAAAAAGAATGATCGAACTGCTTGATTCACTTTTAAAGGACTTAATGGAATCAACAATACTATTTGGTGGAAAGGTTGTAGTTTTTGGAGATGACTTCAAACAAACACTTTCGGTAGTTTGAAACGGGAAAAAAGAAGATTTCATTAATGAAAGTTTACTATATTCTCATATCTGGGAAGAATTTGAAAGGTTGCAGTTATTTGAAAATATGAGAGCAAAAGATGATCCTTCATTTTGTAATTATTTATTGAGAGTAGGAAATGGAAAAGAAAAAGTAACCTCAACAAATAAGATTGAAATTCGAGCATCCTTCATCGTTCCTTATACAACTGAAAAGGAATCTTTGGATAAACTGTTCACGATAACTTATCCAGATTTGCATACATTTTTCTCTTCCTTATCCTGCACAAGCTCCCGTGTTATCCTAACAACTAAGAATGATTTCGTTGATGAGATTAACGACATGCTTGTTGCTCGCTTTCCAGAGGAAGCAAAAACTTTTGTTGGCATTGATGAAATCATTGAACCTACTGATCAATCACAGTATGAGGATTTGCTGCATAGTTTAAATCCAGTTGGTCTGCCGCCATACATATTAACATTGAAAAAGAACTGTCCAATTATATTATTACAAAATTTATATCCGTGTGAGGGTTTATGTAACGGTACAAGTTTGACTTGCTACGACTTTAAATCGCATGTCATTAGCGCCAATATTTCAGTGGGTGACTTGAAAAATACACATGTGTTTATCCCAAGAATACCCTTACTATCATCCCAATTTAAAAGGACACAATTTTCTATAAGATTGTGTTTCGCCATGACAATAAATAAAGCACAAGGTCAGACATTGAATTTTGTTGGAATTTATTTGCGAGAACCTATTTTTTCACACGGTCAAATTTATGTTGCTTTGTCTAGAGCAAAGAGTTCAAACTGTGTGAAAGTGCTAATTCGACCCACTATACCAGGTAGCTATGATGATCACTGCACAGAAAATATTATTTACAATGAAATTACTGAAAAGGCTATTTTATGAGGATATTGCAACTAGAGCACATAGTATCCTAGCTAAAAAAACTATGAAGAGGCCGATAGAAAATACTGCTGATACGCAATCTGGTTCGTAGCAATCAGAATGCATTCAGTGAAGTGATGCAGACTAGAGAGGATATCTTCTTTGTACATGATTG